ACAAATTGGCAACTTCTTGGGGAGAAAAGGGCGTGTGCAAAATTTCAGATCGATATCTTAAAAGCTGAGGTTCAAGTTCACGTATACATACATACATTTTATAGGGTTAGCATAAAGTAAAAATTGTGGAATTACTCCCTAAATAAGTATAATCGATAGAAAGTTTCGCCCTGTAACGAGTTTTATTTTCATTGGCAAAATATATTTCTCACTCCTTATATACTAGCATTTTTCATGAGTATTACCAGAGAATGTTAATAAATAGAGAAGGCGCAAATGTTAGCTGTGGTAAAATGTAAATTACTAAAACGCGACATCAAAAATACGCAAATTCTAAAATTAAATTACACCACTTCAAAAAGGAAATTTCCCTTCATGATAATCGACCTCAACAAACTACACCACTCTAAAAAGGAACCAAGCAAATTTTCACCACCTTATAAGGGAACGGCAAATGTATATATGCGCAGATGTTCTTTGGTATGCGTATTAAGCAAAATTATAAAAACAAAACGAAATAAGAGAAATTGAAGAACATTTATATAATGAGGGAAAATTTTAAATTAAACGAAAGTAAATTAATAAAAAAGATAAATAAAAATTAAAAAAAGGAATAACACTACATCTGTGATAGGGTTTTAACTCAGGCAAAATATTTGATGTAATTTGCAATAAGGAGATGTGATACAAGTAGTACCACAAACATCATATATTGTACATATGTATCTATAATTACTAGTCTAATATGTTAAAGGAATATTCAATAAACCTAAACATATGAACATATTTTCCTGAAATATTTTAATTATCTCAGGAAGTAAAATATTATTAAAGTAATTGAATTGAGATATGCTAAGATTCAAATTAATAAAATAAAAAAAGTTTATAAAATTTAAGTTAAATGAGTTGTAGGATTCGAACGTAAATGCTCCTATTCGCATTGAGCTTAATTCCTTCACGCTTACACCTAAGCCATCTCAAAAGTGGGAACTTGGTCGATTTACCAACAGTTTTATTATTATCCTTTGCTCAATAAGCATATTGCTCTCGCAACGCACACATGTATGTACATACATAAGTTGGAAAAATTGCTTATTGAATGTTTATTTTATTATAATCTCTGAGCTTTTACCGGAAATACAGCTTTTTAATTCATAATTATTAATTTTGTCAAAAATATTTGATTTAACATTTGCGCCACCTCTATTCGTTAACATTCTCTGCATATATCATTTAACTGAATTTATGGAACTAATGCGAATTTCGGCTTTGAAATTATTTACATTATAAATAACGTATTTCACACTTCATTCTAAAAATGCCTTTTCCTATTTTTTGATTTTCACTATTTTTTTAATTTTGGTTTTTCTTTTTGTATTTATCTGAATGTTGTGTTTGTGGTGTACTCTTACAATATTCAGTTTTTTGTGAACGGAAAAATTACCTTCTCTCCTTATTAGCCGATGAGCCATGCCCACAATGGGATAACCCAACGGTCCAGGCATTTTCCATATTAATTTATAAAACGCTCTTCGACTCCATAAAACATAGATCCAAAGCAACAATAGTGTTCCCGTTAAATAATACAGTATCATAGTTTATTAAATAAATTATAATTTGTTATAACTTTTTTAGCTGAATCAAAACGCACGCAAGTGACGATGTGACAATTACGAAGCCCGTCAACACTTTGTGTGCGAATATCGTACGCCAAATTAATTTGTTAGTTTCTATGGGATATTGTAAAACTCGAGGCTCTCGAAAACATTTAGCGGAGTGCGAGAACACGTTACAGTACTAACTCGATAATTTAAGCGGTCACTTTTTGTGTCCAACATCCCTTTCAATCATCGGGGAAGCGCTCTACATCTGCTACTTCATCTACTCAAATTCGGTTTTTCCAGTTTAATATCTTTATTTTTTAAGCACCATATGCTTTTTACATGTTACAACATGTCGCTTGGAGTATTCCTTATATTTTATTGTTCGAAAGTTATATAATATTTGAAATATCTAACATTTAAAAAGTAGTAGCAGTTACCTCATTGCAATCAATCAAATACATATGTGTTCATATTTATGCAAGAGTTTTGTATACTTATGTATGTATGTATGTGTAGTACACACATTGTGTACATGCCTCTTAGAGCAGGTCGATTTTTTTTTCTATAAAATCGCGTATGCGGCAAATGTTCTACGGATCACTCTGAACAACTTTGTCTAAGATTATATGGGTCTAAAGCCGGTTTCGAGCCCGCGATTATTTAGGTGAAGTATAATTTTTAAAGATTATAAAAATTTCTTCATCAGTTTTTGAGATATCCGAAATTTAACAAATAGGTGCATTTCAACATTCTATTGATTATTTGTCGGAATCGGTCAGATCGGACAATTATATCATATGTTTCTTATACAGCCGATTATTCAGTTATTTTATTTTCCGGTTGCCTTCCTTTAATAAAAAGCTAAGAGCACGTCATTTTGTAGAACTGTTCTCTGATACATTCTTAACAATGACAGTGAAAATAAAGAAAATCGGGGAACTATAACATATATCTCCTATACAACCAATTATTCAGAAAAGGCCGACGACTTTTTTTTGTCTCTTCGAGTTTTTAAAAGATATATATTGTATATTTTACAAAATGAAAAATGTTTTTTGAATGCGGAATCAACTTGTTATGAAAATACACTTAAAACTTATTTTAAGCATTTTTGTGTGAGTGTCAAAATGAACCTATGTATCAATTTTCATTCAGATATTTCAAAAACTGAAGAAGAAAGAAGACGAAAGAAAGTTGTTGAGAATAAACCGTAGAATATTTGCCGCATACGTCATTTTTCTGGCTTTTTGGCTCTATAAATCAACCCGCTCTAATGCCCATGTAAATGTATGACAATGCCCACCTGAGCGGTATGAACACATACGTACGTACATATAAGTATTAAAACGAGTGTTCCGTGCTAAATTTCAATTAAAGGTTCGAAGTAATTAAAAACACGAGGTAGTTAGTTCGACAAATTCGAACATCTGAGAATAATTGGCAATGTGCATTGCATACAAATATTATTAATTAAATACTGATGATACTTCCTCCAAAAAGTAAACATTCAGCGAATGCGATATCTACGTTACTCGTCGTCTTTCGTTATGAAATTTAATTTTTTTTTCATACAATTTTTGTACACCTTTTTGTGTGAAAATTTTTATACCCTGAACAGGATATATTAGGTTTGACACGAAGTGTGTAACATCCGGAAGGAAAGATCAGAGATCAGAGAGTTTATACTTATATAAATGATTGCGACTTAAGTTTTAGATTTATCACAGATCTTTTTAATATTTTAATTTTCATTTCATAATGGTTGTCTAATAGAACAAGTATTTTAATATGAGGCAAATATGTGATCTTAAAATTTAAAAATACTAAACATGGCATGAATAAAGCCTATGTCTACTACAGTGCTAAAAAACACTGTGTAGTAAGGGCGAGAACATTATTTTTTATATTATTTACAACATTTTTTCTTAAACATACTTGTACATTAGTCTAAGTCTAAACAATTAAAATGCCGGACAGTGTGGCTGACCTTTGTAATTGAGCTCTCACTACGCATAAAATCCGAGATTACTCTCTATAGGGTACAATTTGGAATGAATTAGTCTCCAACATATACCTTTAGGATACAATTAGGTACTAATTAATACCAAACGAATATCTTTGAGGAATTGTTGGATACACAAAAAATTACTCATCTTTTATATACAATTTTAATATATAATTTACAAACATTTAATCATTTCAAATAATATTTATTATAAATTTATAAACAAACACGGTGAATTACTTAAAAAATTTATTTTCTTTAAACCGAGGGAAACTTTTAAAGTTCTTCTTATCCCTATTTTGCACACTTTTGTATAATTTTTTAATAATTTGTACATACCTATTTATTTATAAAGACTAAATCTAACATCACTCTTTTCGATGCTGCTATTAAAAATATGGCGCGCGCAGTTCAAATTCAATTTCAAAACCCCATAACAAAAATAAAATATGTTTTCTTGCTGCAGGTAGTTATCAAGAATGCATTTTAAATGATTTTAACTTTGAGCTGAAGCAAATTACAATACCTATGGTTGTTACAACACCCAAATTTTAATATTATAAATAAAAATAACTGAAGAGGTGCAAAACGCTTCAAACTTTAATTTTACTTATAAATTACATATAATATATGCTTAGGAGTAGTAGATTATGTCAACTTTTGGTGTTCGAAAAACTTACCACTCCCTTATTTTTTTTTAATGTTTCCAAATTGTATCTTGTCTCGGCTCCACGAGCTCAACAAATTTTTCACCTTCCTATGGATTTGTACATAATAACTCATTACAATAGTTTGAAATTTTAAATAAAATAGTTCTTTTTAACAATTTTCTATCAATATTTCTCATAAATAAATTCATTAATGTTTATCTAAAACTGCTCTAGTCAACCCCACTGACAGAGAGTTATCCGTAATACCAAAAAAAGTTGGAGTTTGATAACACTTCAACCAAATTTTTTTTTGACGGTTTAAGTTAAAACCATGATACCAATTTCAAAACTTCAAATGAAATGCAGTTGGGCTGAAAACCGTAATAGGGGTTTAATTTTCACAGTTTCAATTATAGTTAGATCTCTCATTTTCCACACATTGAGCAGATGACTCCCATTCATGACTATTTTTTAGTTAATACAAATAGCAAACAACAAAGTAAGCCAATTTAAGCGAACAAATCCTAAGGTTAACTTTCAAACTACATCTGATAAAAAATCTTGCCTACCAAAACCTTATGCCTACCAATCAAACTACCAAAGGCAAATGAAACTACCAATTTCGGTCCGATCCGATTGTCCAATTTTCTTTATTTTCACTGTCATGTATTCGAGAACAGTTCTGCAAAATTATGTGCTCTTAGCTTTTTTATTAAAGGAAGGCAACCGAAAAATAAAATAACAGAATAATCGATTCTATAGGAGATATGTGATATATGTAGTTTTCCGATCTGACCGAAGAAATTTTTATAATCCCGAAAAAACCTACATTTAACAAATCGCTGGCTCGAAACCGAATTCAGACCTATATTCTTCTAGGCAAAGTTGTTCAGAATGATCCGTAGAACATTTCCCGCATACGCGATTATTTAGAAAAAAAACGACCCACTCTAATACTCATATCTCTTAAAACCTGAGTTTCATCAATGACAATATCCTATTTTTCGAGGGTCACTTTCGTTTCTGCTGCAAATAAAAGAACTTTTCAATTGACTGAATTTAATTAATAAATAACACATTCACCTCCTGAGGAACGAACTTGTGCGGTAAGTTCAAAACCCATCTTCTCAAGGCGTTCGATAGTATCCCCACACTTGCGGCTGGATTCTAATCTAAAAATTAGGAGTGTTAATACTTAATTTGTTTCAGATGTTTAAATATTTTTCTTTTTAACTTATCGGTGTTAAAAACTCCAGTCGCTTAATTTTCCTGTCTGAGCTGTCCGACATATTTTTCTTCACCTTTCTTTCTATAATATAAGTATGTTATATATTTGTAATATTAATGTATTTAATTTCACTCAATAAAATTGCGCTTTCTCCGGTTCTTTCGTCTCAACTGCAATGCTGTCAAAGTTTTCGTTAACCGGCAAACGCAGGTGCGTTTGAGCTTTGCGAAAAAGCGGAAGACAAAATATAACAAGTAAAGAAGGGCTATATTAAAAAAGAAAAAACGTAAACTTCGGTTTCACCGAAGTTGTAATACCCTTCACAAATTCAAAGGTTCCCTATAAAAACTTGATTCCGATCGTTCAGTTTGTAGCAAATATACAATATTTATTCAAGTTTTTATTGAGAAAACTTTCTATTTATTCATGAATATTTATGTAAAAATGTGGGCACAACATATTTGTTTATAAAAAATCGGTATTTCTACTCCTAAGTTATCTTTTATATAATATTAACATGGCAAGATTTGATGTAACTAAATTATCAAAAGCATTTTCTTGTAAGGCAGCGGCATAAAGCATATAATTAGTATGTTATATTAAATGTATTTACTTATGTGTATATGTAGAATGTTCGAGCATGCACACATACATGCAAGTTACTTCAGTTACAAAATTGTATTGTGATTTTTAACTTCATATTGACAGATCTACTGCTTCTACACTCTAACAATATCAAAAAATTAAACAACTACGTTTTTACAATTATAGCTGAATAATTATGGGTATAAACTTGGGTATTTTAATAAAAAATCTTAAATTAATGGTTGCTGATACGTAACGGTATTTCAACGACTCTAATTCGACAGATGCAACAGTATGTACAATAGCAATACATACGATTAATAAATCCCTGAAGACACTAGGAATCAATAAGTTATGCTTGGTATATACATACATACATGTGTGTGCGCATGTATGATATGAATTCCCTCAGCTAGCATCAATCAGCTTCAATATGGGGTGCTGAAAAAATATTGAAAGTTTTGTATTACAATAAATTTATTGACAAATATGAACATTTATTTAAACTAATGCAACTTACAGGCAAATGTATAGTGGACAACTGATAACAACGTAAATAAGGACTTTGTTCATTTAATTGGTTGAATATATTGTAGATACTTACATATATGTATGTACAAACGCCCGTAAGATATATTGATATTTGTATGCGTATACATATGTATCATATGTATTATCAAGCATGATATGAAAGCAGACATGTTAATTGAGACCCAATAAAATTTGTTATTAAAAATTAAAGCCAGCGAGAAGTTACTTACAATTAAAATTAATCATATATGTAAATATGTGAATAAATAAAACAACTAGAGGCAGTGGTGTAGGATGCGGGAGGCAATTCTGTTTTGAAACAAGTAAGGAAGGTCTAGGTTCGGGTGTAACCGAACATCTTATGCTCTCTCAAGGTAAAGTGATATACGGGATTTTCCTATATATTTTAATTAAAAGTAGAAAGTATTGCATCCATTATTTACAATCACAGGCAAGAAGATACCTTAATAACATTCTTTCGGACTTTCATTAAGATTTCTTATATATTGGCCGATAGATGCGGTATAAAGTCAAGCGGAAGTTCGAAAATATTTATACATATTAGGTAAATATATGAGAGCTTGTCCCGATTTTACCCAGTTTTAGCACAAGGGCAGGCTGTTAGCACAAAAATATTCTTCCCGGTTTTCAATACTAGAATTCACAGACTGCCCGATATGTTCGGTAAAAAATCAGCCGTATACACTGGTGCCCACATATTTGGTGTCTGGGTCCTTGAAAAGTTATTTTCCGATTTTGACAATTTTTGGGCGTCAGATGGAATACCTTCAGGCCACTATTTGTGCAAAGTTTTACTTTGGTAACTTCATTGATGTTTGATTTGTATATTGTAAAGTAAAAGAATCAGATAGAATTTAAAAGTTTGTTATATGGCAAGTAGGCGTGGGTGTAAACCTATTTCGCACCTTTTCACAGTGAATGATAGACATTATTGGGTAACCAACACACCAAATTAAAAATGATCTAGTAACTCCTGAGATATAGGATTTCACATAAAAGTGGGCGGTGCCACGCCCATTATCTAATTTTTACACCGGCTACCACAAAGGCAGTGATCCGATTACGCCCAATCCTCCTTGTACCAAGGGATATACTTATGTACCAAATTTCAAGATATCTCAATTTCTATTCAAGGTATCGCTTGCACGGCAGACGGACAGACAGTCATCCGGATTTCAACTCGTTCTGATCGTCTGATCATTTATATATTTATAACTCCATATCTATACCGATTAGTTCTAGGTGATACAAACAACCGTTAGATAAACAAAACTATTATAGTTTGTGCAACATGTTGCGAAGGTCTAAAAATAATGCGCGCGGTGCGATTTCTAATTCTTTGTTTCTTATTTTATTGTTCAAAACGCCACTGCCTTGCAATAAAATATATATAAATATATACATACATATACATATATGTACAAAAGAAATAAGGCAGAACGCTGAAATAAATTGCGATAAAATAATTATTTCAGAATATTAGTAATTAGCAATTGTTAAATAAAAATTATGAGTTGGAAGCCAAAATATCAACCATAAAAACAATAACTGTTCACTTATTAAGGGTTTGTTAAGATATTTAAACCTATTTAAATCGTCTTTAAAACGTCTATTCTGTTCACTATGATATTTGCACTGGCTATGACATTAGCTATTCGAAGAACTTTTTGAAAATCAGCAAACTTTAAAACTAAGCTAGTATTTTGATGTACATGATGTGATTGGGACAAAAGTCAATGAAATGAAATATTTGTCGCTTTAATCGTTTACAATCGGATCCACATGTTTTGGTAATATCTTGTTTTGTGGAGTTGCAAACTAAGTGGATTTAAATAGAAAAACAGTTCTTTTGATTTTTTTAAGGACCACCCTATTACATAAATATGTAATATACGCAAATACTAATCGATACGTATATGTACCATATACAAGTATGTATGATACACATACCTACTTCAAATGCATTCGAATGTTATTGCGAATTCATTAAATTGGTTTAATTTAAAACAATAAATATTTACGATTACATACATACATGAATGAATATATAAAATTAATAAATCGAATATGAATAACGGCGTTTTTCCGTGATGTATAAGCACTCGACTGTTCCTGAACAAGCTTCGTCAGTTGTCAAGACATTGTCATCCGCAATCGATATTGACATGCAACGCGAATCAAGCAAAGCAGTTTTTGAGCAAATGGGATGACTAGTTATTTCACTACTGGGAGCATCATGAACACAAGCAGTTATAATTCTACGTTTTTCTAAAGCTGCCGAAAGTTTACCGGCTATAAAATATCGACTAATACCTGACTCAGAGGAATTCGTTTTGCGCATCGTCCTATCAGCATATTTTGTAGCCTCAGATCCTCTCAACAACGGCTCATTGAAATTTTGTTCTAAAATAATTGAATAGATGATTCATTATCTTATTAAATATATAAAAGCAATATATACACATATATGTATACATAATAACCCAAATATAAAATATATTAAATACATACATATGTACTTATATACAGATTCATAAAGCTGTGCAATTATTTTATGCATTTCTAAAATTTTATTAATGTACTTAATTTAGTTACGCGCAAAATTGCCTAAAGTTGGTTTTTACAAGAATTTAAAACAAAATCACCCAGGCGCGGTTATGTTTAAATATTTTTATAGATCAAATTAGTTTTATTAGTTTAATACCCATTGTTCGGACTTCTTTGGCTAACTATTGCCCATGAAAGAGCAATTAACGACAATAGAACATAAAAAAAATATATACTTTAAATATAGAAAAATAAATATTTTAAAAATTTTACTATTTAATTAGTTACTTACTAAAAACTAGTGATTGTTTGAAAGCTCGTTTTTTAGGGATGTAAACAAAATATTTAAAATTAGTCATTATTTACTTATTATAACCATAATTACACTAAATATATTTTACTTCAAATCAGTTGTTAAGACAGTTAGTATTAGTAAAGAAATAGAATACATTTTAAGCGTGTACATATATATACAAAAATTGATGTCAATGAGAAATTAGGTGTATTCATTTATATAATTTCCACGCAATACACGCTTGCATTTTCAATATCTTCTTAGATGTAATCAAGACTAGTTGAAAGTATTAGTCAACATACGCCAAAAACAGTTGCCTTTGTTATTTGCATATTCTTCAAATTCCATCCGAGTTAAATATGAATTGGCGCACTCTCCCTAAAAGCTTTTTGTGCGGCAAAACACAATTTGACACAGTTGTGTGATAATTTGTACAAGCTTGCGAAACTCCTCCAAACATTGTACATAAGTATGGTATATAGGTATTTTCATAATAGTTAGCTGGAATTTTCACTATGTATTTAAAATTGTAAATGCAACTCGCAAAAAATGTATACTAAAATAATTTTTCACCCTTTTCAATACTACGTTATAAAATATATATTTACCTGCACTTTTCCAATTGGCGTTCTGTATATTTCCACTTTCTACATCTGCTTTCGGTTTGCTTGACACATTCGCTTCAGAATCACTGTCATCGTGAACACATCGTATTAGGAACATAATAGTTGAGCCCAATATGGGCGGTATTCCTGCCAAAAGAAGTGGCAAAGTATATGAACCGGTTTGATCATATATCCACCCTGCAATTGGTGGTCCCATTGTTAAAGGAAACGAACTCAGTCCTAATAAAAAGCCAATGGCTTGGGTTGCACCAGAAGGTCCACATAACTCATACGCTATGGGACCTAGAAGGGAAATAAAGCAGCCATCAAACAAACCCATTATCAGTGTGAAAGCAATGAGTAGTACATATGAGCTGGTTAATGGTAGTAATAACGTTATCACACCAATGCACGTTAACGCTAACTGTTGCAAATATATACGGTTAACTCTCGGCAGATCGGCAATAATTCCGAATATCAATCGGCCAATGCCGGAGGTCACGCCAATACACATCACAGGCAGATTTTTGCTTTTTCCTGGAAAAGTTTTCTGCACAAACTTCATCATATGGACATACGGCACAAAATAGCCGAACAAAGCTATGGGGACACAAAGCGCCCATATCACATATTTCTTGCGTTTCCAGATGTCTACGTTGATAATGGAGCGTATAATCATATTAATGCGTGAACGGCCAGGCTTCTTCTGCGGCGGACAAGGCGGAGGATGTAGCGGTTTATAAACGAAAGAACAAGCAATTATGAAGCACGACACCAAACTCATAACTTGCAACATGGTTTCCAAACCATAACCTCGTAACAGATAGTCCAAGCTTGACGGTAATATTACTGTGAATACACTGGATCCAGCTGTAACAAATCCACTTACTTTTCCTAAATATCGTTTGAAATAATGCCCCAAAATTGCCAATGTTGGAGTGTAGGCCAATGCGGCGCCCAAACCGAACATAACACCGTACGTCAAATACATTGCTTGAATATTTAACGTAAAGAATGATGAGAGGAGTAGACCTGTGGCAGAGAGTAAGCCCCCAATTAATGTTGTCAATCTTAATCCAATTTTGTCTGTCAATACACCTGCAACTGGTGAGAACAAAAAGGTGGTACCAATGGTCAATGAGCCAACCAAAGCTGAAATTGAAACAAAACGAAAATAAATACGAGCTTAAAGCAGAAAACCCGCTTAATTGGAGAACCTAATCAATTTAAAAAAATTCATATATGCACTTTAAGTATTTATTTAGTTTTTAGTAATGACATTTAAAAATATTTTCAACTTTAAATGGAAACAAAAAAACAAAAACTAGACAATGCACTTTTATATTCAGAAATCATTATTATAAAAAAAAAACTTAAAGGAAAAACAATTATTATGTTTATGCAGCATTTTTGTTGACATATTTAGAGTTCGTTGCTTAAATTTTTTAAATGATAATTTATTCCATATTCCCTAATTCACACAATCGGTCTAGCAGGTCTCGAGATATGTGATTTTACCAAAAAGTGGGCGGTGCCACGGCCATCGTCCAATTTTGACAATGCCTTCAATAAAGCCTTTCTGTGCCATCCTGGTTGTAAAATTTAATGTCTCTGACGAATTTAGTTATCGATTTATTGCACTTTTAGTGGTTTTTAACAAAACCTTTATATGGGGACCTACTTTCCCACTATCGTAAAAAGTTTTGTCCTGTGCAAAATTGGGTGATATAGCTTTATTGGTTTGGAAGATATATACTTACCCATCTACGAACTCGTCCTTACTTATTTGCCAAAGAAGACGGACAGACAGACAGTTACTTTAAATTCAACTCGTCTCGTCAACATGATCACTTATATATCGGGTTTTCTAATAGGGATGATATGATTTCAAAGTGTCGTTTCGGCCATTTTTAATATGCCATGATCTAATTTTTTCTATTGTAATTTTTTTTTCATTGTATTGAGTAATGTTTACAATTTCATCATGGGATGTCTAAAATATCAAAATAATCATTCCCAAATTGCAACCTTTCGTGCGCTTTTGCCATTTTTGGTCGTTATGGTAAATGGTGCGGTAAATAAACAAAACTGTCGATTCTGATGCGAAGAAAATCCACAAATTATTCATGAACAACCAATACATTCACCTAAACTGACAGTTTGGTGTGGTTTTTGATCTAGTGGAATCATCGGTCCCTACTTCTTTCGAAATTAGGCTGGAGACACCATTACTGTATACATCGATGATAACCAACTTTTTATGAACGCAATTGGAAGATTTTGACAACATCTGGTTCCAACAAAACGGGCTACGTGACACAAAGCACGTGCAACAACTGAATTATTGCGAGAAAAGTTTAGATTCGATAATTTCAAAAAAGTGTGACATTGAAAGGCCTCCAAAAACTTATAATTTAATATTTAATAAAATATCTAATAGATTGATTGATATTTTAATAATAAAAATATTCTGCTATTTTCATTGTAGCTTGATTTACTATATACTATAAAGTAAAATAAAAATAGAAAACAGATAAATACTAAAATTGTGATATGTGGGAGGTTCACACAGTGATCGAAGGAAGTCCGGATAATGTTATGCACTATAAGTAGTAGTGGAGTAGTTCCTGAAATATTGGTTTTCAACTAAAATGTGTACACTAATACTCATGCAGCACCTCTGTGTCCTCTTTACTGCTTTACTTCAGCGAGTTAACGCACTTTTTGTAGTGCATAACAGCCGTTATATAGAAGGTGGGCATATAAGTACTAGAAATACTTTCTCTCAGCTAATTTAGTTTAAATAGCAACTGTTAGGTAAACAGTTCAACATTTCTTATTAAAAAGTATTAGACTAACACCCGGAAATAATGTATATATTGTCTTGGTACGAGAGTACAAAATATTTGGCTGCACTCGAACTTAGTTTTTCCCTACTTTTTCTTTATAAGGTTATAATAAGAGCTATTACAATAATATGAAAACAAATATAATTATGACAAAGAAAATTTGTTTCGTCAGTACTTTTGTATACAAGCATTTTTTGGTTTGGCGACATTGTCAGCACAAGCTTTGTCACAATTTCCAAATAGAAATTTTAAATTTACTATCAGGATAAGATGCATTACCAAGTGTTATTTCGGATAAAAACCGCAATAATTTTCTAAATGGCTTGATTGGCGATCTTGACACCAGTCAAGCGTGATAGCCAATAAATATTCTGCTGATGCTGGTACAGTGTTGTTTATATCATAATATTGCACCCTGTTTTTTGGTACCCTTAATATAAGGTCATACATTCATACATATGTATGTATATAATATATTCACATAGTACATTCTACGCGTTGGCACATTGTTTATAAGTTTCAACTATATTACTATGTGTGCAAGTAGCTATCTGCAATTGCCGTCATTTATTCAGTTTCGCTGCAACCAAGTACTATATATAACCGCTATTGTAGTTGTGCTTGTAATTCGATTAGCGTCGTCGGTGCGCCTTTTGTGTTTAATTTTCCTTTGATAAACCGCTTGTCAGAGGCTTGGAACAAGAATAGTGTACTGCACACTTTGCAAATATTCATGAATCGTTGTTTTAATAGATTTATATAAAGATAAAGATAACCCGAGTACAACCAAAGGTTTAAAGTTTAAATTATTTACATAATATTCAATTATTTTATTAGTTTATTTTAAACTATTTACATAATATTTAAATTTTGAGAATGTCTACTAATTTTCGTTTAAACTAATTATTATGTTATTATTTATTGTTTAACCAAGCTTCTCTTCTAATAAGTTAGTCTAGATGTTAATCATCTGATGGAATTCCTATAGGATTAAAAATATACGCGGAGGTTTAAGCAATAAAAGGATATAAAATTGAGAAAATTACACTTAAGTATTCCACTGCACAACTAAGCCTAAGCAAGCTCATTGGAAAGGGCACACTCATACCCGACATGGCTGCAGCGATCGTCAGTAATACCGTTAGCTATTTAATCACATCACTTTCATCTATACATCACCTTCGTATACATCCATAAGAACGAGATTAGGTGTATTGTAATAACGCTACATACATAGTCTGTATATATAACACATAGTATAATAGGGGCTAGTACATTTAAACTACTCTATACCGGGAAAATGTATACAATGATTTGAATTTGTAAACTCATACGGTTAATTGTTTGATAAGGGTTATTAGTTTAGTCCACTGACATAGTTATTGCTGTCATTTTTATATTTACAAATAAATTATTTTAATCTCACTCTACATTTACACATCCCTATTTTGTTATTATCACAGTTGCTTGATTTTCTATTAATTTTATTCTAAATCTTTTGATGCAATCAATAGAAATGTAATTAATTAAAGCGAGTAAGTAAGCCGACCGTGACCGAACTTTACAGATATGCTTACATACATACATATGTATGTATGTACATATGTGCATATAACCTTTACTGTAGTTAATATGTTTAGTTAAAACTTGTATGTATCAAATCGCGAATATTTTAGCGAATAAAGATGAATAATGTGAGCTTTGTTCATAGCGTAATTTCTTCAATTAATCGGTCGCATCACAAGCTGAATGAGTCGAAGAATTATGTTGATGAAAGAGTAAAGTGACACGTATCGCAAATGTTTATCATTTATAGAAATATGTGGAAGATAGGGCCGATACACGAAATTAACATTCTTTCATTATAAACAAAAATTGAAGAAATAACGTCACATTAACAATAAATTATGTCCGATTAGAGTAAATATAATATATAATAAGTACAAAGGGCAGGGATATCGATTTTTGATTGTGGTGGGATGGCGCGGTCGGGCCAAAGACTTTTCAACCCATGTAATATAGTTTGCGATTGGAGCAGCTCCAACTAATTTTATTTATTCTATATCAAGTGTCTAGTGTTTAGTGTTTTATTAGTAATTAAACGTTGCCTTTATTTGTGATGTGTACATATGTATTTACCATATATGTATTTACAAATTATATAATATTAATAGTGGAATGTTATAACTATTATTTATAATACAATATAAAAAGAATTGTTGGATATATTTTGAAAGTAATACGCAACAGTGATTTTGTTATTTACTACTACTCTAAAGAAAGAAACTGGACCTTTTAATATTTTAAGTCGAAATTTATTTTGTAAGCTGTTTGCTGAGAATACTTCTGACTGTTCATTTTTCAACCACATAATTTCGAACAATAAAGTCTCTTGTGTGTTGTGCCAGGAAAGTTCCTATATGGTAAACAGGCTAACGTTTGTTTAGTTACAACAAACAAAATTTTGATAACTAAATCAATATCGCTATAAATACAAATGAACATGGCTGCTTTGAAAATCCGACCCAAGGGTTGTAATTGCATATACAGTTCATCAAAGATTATTAAACGATTATAAACTTTTTTGGAAGATTAACCAATCACATTTCATAAGTTATTATCTTAAAATCGTTTTGAAGCCATGCCCATATTCGGTATTTTCCTGTACTACTCAAAGGCTATAGCTCTCCCAAGAATACCGTTAAATCATAAAAGTTTATAATGTACACCATTGATTTATTACTTAGTAATTACCCTATACCCTGAACAGACTATATTAAGTTTGCCACGATGTTTGTAAGACCGTATTTGATCAGCATATCGAGCTGAGTCGATTGAGCCATGACGGTCTGTCTCTCCCTCCGTCCGTCCGTTCGTATGTCTGTATATACGTAAATTAGTCCTTCAGTTTTTGAAATATCGTTCTGAAATTTTGCACATTTTTTGTCTACCCAATAAGCTGCTAATTTGTTGGAACGGCCGATATCGGACCACTGTAGAATATATTGTAGCTTCCATAAAAACTGTACGATTAGAATCAAGTTCTTCTATAGAAAACTTTTATATTTGACGAGAAATCTTCCCGGAATTCGGCAAGAATTATTGTCCTGGGCAGCACTACAACATTTGAAGAAATTTTTAAGATCTGACCACTATGTCAAATAGCTGCAATACAAACTGAACGAACAAAATAAAGTTGTTGTATGAAAACTTCTTTATATGTGAAGGATATTCTAGCTTTGGTGCAACCGAAGTTCACGGTTTTTTCTTGTTTTTAATAAAACTTTTCGAATACATATGTAT